CCTGACAAATATTTCCAAATCTATCAGGGTTTAAAGATTTGCAATTTTTTTGATGTCTTTAGATACGGCGCACCATATGGTAATTTTTTTATTAATTAAAAAAAATTTATTTAATCACCAAAAATCTATCATAACGAGAATAATAAAAAAGAAAATGTTTCAACTTCCAATACTAAAACAGCTTCTGAAAATATAAATACCCAGTCTCCTGATCATGGTTATGGACTCAGTAGGATCCCCTAAACCAAATTGGTAGCAAATTCACTGATCATCTCATATCTAGCTATGGACTAATCTTAAATATTATCTTAATCATAAAACCACAGAAAGTCTAGAGGAACTTTTTGAAGTGAATATCGAATCAACTCCAGAAAAAATAGTCGACCGCAATTGTTACCCATTGGCCTTGTTGTGGTGTACCTGGAATTGGTAAGACTAGATTTTAGGCAGGGATCCATGATTCGCCTGATTTTATAAATTAATATGATTGGTCGGCAAATGCATTTGATTTCTAAATGACAGAAAGAGGTAAATGGGGTAATTTGACATCACTGGCCATAAGATCCACAAGATTTGGACAATTATTAATAACTGGGCGAAGTTCACTCAGCATTCTTTTTAAAGCCCACGAATGTATTACAGTTTCGAGAATATAAGAAAACGATTCGAGGTTTTTAAAGGTGGTATGGCTCTCATGGCTCTTTTACTACTCAGAGTGTTTCGTTCGTCATTTGAACAATTCTGCGACAATATCATTTAACTCCTCTAACCCTTTATGTATGCTCTCACCAAAAGATTGGATTTAGTAGTAGTCACCAGGAAATTTTTCCGACACAATTATTATTATTATTATTATTATTATTATTATGCGATTATTACGATGGGCCTTTTTTACAAACTTACACTTGTAAGTATAAGTGACTTACGGGGTGCAATAATCTCATAATATTGCGCTGGGAAAATTTCTTGTCTTAAATGAATATTCGCTGGTGTATCTATTCGGAATATATATATATATATATGTGTGTGTATAAGAGTTGAGTATAATTTCGGGTAATATTGTAGTGGAAAAATTTCCTGGTGCTACTATGAGCATGTTTCTTTTACTATTATATTTGTTATATTTGGAAATAGCAATTATAAATATTAATATTAATATTTATGGCAATTCGGAAATTAGTTTCAAATTTTACGCAATATTAATATCTCATAATATTGACATTGCATAGAATATGAAAAGCATGAAATTTCTCGATTGTTATAGAAAACACTAAATTTTCCCAAAACTAGATTCAAGGTAAATATTTACTATTATTAATAATTTAACACACTTTTTTTTATTTTTGAATATATAATATTAATCCAATACTGTTATAATCCGACTTTTAAATTAAAAATAGTTTTTGAACACACCCATTTTTAAAAAAACCATATGATACAAAATTAAATATAAAAGCAAATTACTATAAGTGAGTATATATACATGTTGCTAAATCAGCATAAAAGAATAAGATGGATAAAGCAGATGAAATGTCACAAACAAACAAGGACACTCCCAAAAAAAAAGTGCGTTGTTGAGTAAATATGTTTACCTTGAGATGATGGTACTTACACCTGCATGTCATTTTCTGTTATCAATGAACCAAACTATTTAGAACTGCACTCTTCAAGGAGAGAGCCCAAGCAAGCAACTTCCGTCGAATCATTTCATTTTTATTTTACAGACAGTGAAAGGAAGATGAATGTTTAAACCAAAAATTTTATTACTAAAGTTATGGACACTGAAATTCTTTGAATAGTGTACAATCAAATCTCAGAGAATGGTTTTAGGTCCATAACCTACTCTAGGACTTTGGTATAGGAAATAATATAACTTTATAGAATGATCTTAAATATTATGCCAATAGGCGAAAACAATAAAATGCAATTTTTTGTTAAACATTTATCTATTCACTTTCTTTGCTCATGGATGAATTCGTTTGTAACCAATTAGATGAAAGCCAAAAGGTCATATCGTTTGGATAAAAGCAAACGTTAATTTGTCATTTACCTCGCTTACAATATTTTTCAATTGAGTATAATTGCTCCTGTCGTTTCTCAGTGATTTAAAAATATCACTGGTATAGATAGTGAAAGCTCAATGAATAACGTCATGTAAAAATTTTATTGCATGATAAAATCTTCGCTCGCCATGGATGGACGTTTCCCATTTGATGATAAAAATTTGGAGATCACAATATGTTACACAAACTTTCGATTGTTAAAACGCGGGTTGGCAGTTGTATATTTCTACGTAAAAACAAACTTTTCCTTTTAAAATTTAACATGGAAAAAAGTAATTACTATCATAAGAAACAAGAATTCATAGAATCACAGATTGAGATACTTCAACAGAATTTATTTAGTTATTCAGAGGAATGGACCACAGAAAATGAAGAGTCTGATAATCGAATTCCAAAACAAGTTGTAGATCCAGTTATAAGGAAATGTATATAATATAACTTGTAACATTAAATGGGATGGATTGAAATGAACAAATTTAAAGAAAATGATTTTTAATAATCAAACAATTCGACAAGTTCTTGATCAACTTCAATTTTTATATTACCAAAAGCAAAAAAACGCATTAGAAGGATATATTAGAGTGGAAGAGAGTGATTTTCAAGATCCAAGGTAATTAAATTTCATTTAATAATTAATAATCATAATGTCGATAATAATCATAATAATGATTGAGATATTGTTGTTTTTAGATGGATTGAATCATTTCCAGAAGAATGGTCAACATTAGAAAGTAGTAAACCATATAAAGAAGAGCTGAAAGTGTGAGATATATATAATTATTATATAGTCATCCTTCAATTTTTGATATTATATAATATATTTATATATCCATTTACATCATATCATATATGATAGATATGCAGAAATACGAGAAAAAGTTTACCAAGCACAAAAGGAATTTATGGAAGTTAAAGAAAAATATGAATATTACAAACATTTAAATGAATTATTGTTGAGAATGAATACAAACAACATACAAAAGAATATGCTTGTCAAAAATTCACCAGTTTATAATGAAGTTGAGAAAATGAAAAGTTTAGGTGAAAAAATTATTATTATTTTTTTTATTGTAAAAATTTTTATTGAAATTATTGTTATTATATTTTTAAAGTGGTAAAGATGACCAATACTTTAGAAAAGAAATCAGAATTTTTAAATAAGAAAAAAAACCAAATTTGAATTCTAAATTCAATAATGATGATAATGGTAATGGTAAAAGTAATAAAATTGTATTTTAAAATTCACATGTCATTTTCTCATTTTTTGCCTAAAATCATTAGATGAGATGATGACAATTGAAGAATGATGACAACAAAGAAGAAGGAGAAATAAAAAGAAGGAAATTGTTTGAACAATTAAATTTATATTATATATATTATAGAAAGAATTTTCTTCTACTAGTTTCCAGCTCAGGCTAAAAGGCTAAAATATCAATTAATTAATTAATCAAAAGAAAAACATAATAATAATAACAATAGCAATAACAATAACAATAACAATAACAATAATAATGATATACCTTGAACATCCATTCATATTCATTGTTCTTATTAAAAGTTCCTTTTTGTAACCATTTAAGCTTGAGAGTAAATTTTGTACCAATTTCTTGTAGTTCTACTTTATCTTTACTTTGAAAATTATATCTATTTATTTTTTATTATTTTTTTTTTTTGTTTTGTTTTATGGTTGTTCAGTTTTGTCTACCTGTGATGTCTAAAAATATAAAATCCCTTTGATTGTGAAATGTAGCAACCTGTCTTCCTTGAAACTGTGGCACATGAGGAAATAAGCTTGAAACCATCTACTGATAGTATGAACAAGCCTTGTATTAAAATTATTCAATATTAATTCTGGTTTATGATTTGAAGATCTTCCATGTCCCTTGATTAGCACATTTTATTATAAGAAGATATATACAGGTGAGATAGTGCTCTTTTATCTTCATACTATAAAAAAATAACAACTAAATCTTACATAAATTTCATGACTTAATTTCACATTTGTTAGCCTGAAATAAGGAGTTGGCCCATTTGGTAAATGCATTAAAGCCATTGAATCTGATTTCATAAATTCACCCAATAAAAAATAATTAAATATAATTAATATATTAAATACACATTAATAATAACAACAATAATAAATAGACCAATTACATGATGATTTCTTATTTTCATTGATAAATAACAAATCAGTGAGTTCTCTATTTTTTACAAAATTCTATAATTTGCCCAACTGTGAATTTTTTATTCCTTTGACGTATTGACTGTTCGGAAATACGTCAACTAGTTCAGATGCAAACCAATAAATAACTAGACTTTGATAGTAGTTATCAACATCTTTGTGATAATCCATCTTGAAAATATTTCGAAAATTCATCAGACACTTCCTCCTCAAAAACCTCATCATCGTCCACTCCAATAATTGTTTCATCTACTTCTCGAGTATTATCAAGAGTTTTTGGTACATTTTTCTTCAATCTTGCCTTATAATAGTAATGATGATCATGAATATACTTATGAATATATGGTGGAATAAATAATAATATTTTTTTTCTCGGGATCTTTTTCCTCTTCCTCTCGTAATTTTAACCTCCTTTTCCATTTTTTCGATATTTTTTTCCTGTTTTTTTCTAGTGTAGTCACCTTTTTTTGTCCTATATTTTATTTTAGGAGTAGTTGTCCGGCCCATTTTATTATTATTATTACTATTACCATTACTATTTTTATTTTTATTTACTATTTTTATTTATTTTGAGAAAAAATTTCTATTTGTATGATTTATAATGTAAATTTTACAAAAAAATAATTAACGACACCGTGAAAATTCTAATAATAATAATATTTAAGAATAGAAGATTAATATGGTTTTTTTTATTTTAAAACTACGGAATATTTTTTTGATTTAATAGTTTATTTAAATGAATTAGAAAGAACTAATCGAAGGATGTTCCTTAAAGAGACAAAACCATAGATTCCAGAGCTAAAGATACAAATAATTGAAGGAAAATTTATTTTTTAGACAATGTAAAAACCATTTGGAATGATCATGTAAAAGTTTATTCATTATTATTATATTGTGCATGCATTTATTATTATGAGTAAACTAAATGAAACTTGACGTAAAATTGAAAAGGAATTCGTATTCCTTCAACAATGATTAACAAATGCAGTAGTTATGATATGAATATTCATTTCGTCAAATTCGGTAATTATAATTAATATTTAGTAGGAATAATTGATTAGAATTCCATCATAGATGATGTTCCCTAATTGTGAGACGTTACAAAGTTTCCAAGAAACCAACGAAAAAAAAAATATAAATTGGCAAAAACCATCCATAACTTTCAGAAAAAAAACTTTAACATAACAAAAAACAATATTTTATTTAAAAAATGAATAATTTTAATAATTTATTACTATTGCCAGTTGAAATGTTAACAATGATCTTCAAAAATGTAAAATTTCCAATCTCATTAACCTTGACGTGCAAGTTTTGGCACAAAATCTCAAAGGATCCACACTCGAGAGCCGAATGGTTGATAGAGCATTATGGTTCACATGCTTTAGTTTATGCTATTAAATTTGGTCCTGACTTTATTAGCGTTAAATTGGTGGAATGTTTGCTTGCTAAAAATATTAATTTATCGCAATATCTTGTGCAAAAATTATCTTCTAATGTTGGTAAATCCGATGAAAAATTAACTAAACTGAGATATAATAATAATAATAATAATAATAATAATAATAATAATAATAATAATAATAATAATAATAATAATAATAATAATAATAGTAATAATAATAATAATAATAATAATAATAGTAATAATAATAGTAATAGCACTACCAAAAATATTTCCAAAAATTGGGGATCTAACACTCCGTTAGATGTATATATTCACTTGTTGAAGAAAGCAAGTTCAATATGGAAGTCTAATTTACATCTGAAAGGAAATGATATGCAAGTCTTTTTTTACTTGTCAGGAGGAGACCTTCCAATTGATAAAGCGAAAATCAAAATGAATGAAAATTTATCAAAAATCGAGGATTTGATCTTGACAAATAAATTTGTACCATTTCCACAAAGGCCAAAGCAACAAATCAACAACATCATAAAATATCAGGAAAATTTAAAACTTAAAAGTGTTGAAAAAAATCATCATTGTCTAAATGACGGTTATGAAAATAACATAACCTCAAATATTATCCCAAGAGCAATTATTCTCAATCCTAAATTGGTCACATTATGGAAAAATAATGGATACAAAGATATTTTCCACGATTACAATGATTTAGTATTAAAAGCAACTTATCTCATGTTATTTCCACCAACTATTTTCAACAACAACAACAATACTAATATTCCAGATTTAACTAAAGTTGTTTCAAGATTGAGGGAATTTGTCAATTTGGGGTTTAAATTAACCAAACTAGTCATGGGTGATGTGTTGCTATTATTTGAAAATGAATTATCGATGATTGGTGAATTAATCTTGAAATCATTCCAAATATTCAGAAATGAAGATATACAACAAATCTTGGAATATTGTTTGGTTCAAATCCTCATGCCTGAAAAAGGTCTAAAAAATTTAACCATTTTAGAATTCTTGTATGAAAAACTTGAAAATCCCGAAGAAAGTTTCCTGAAAGTATTAAATAAATATAACATAGGAAATCAATACTGTGATTGTGATTGTGGTCGCAATCATGGTGATAATAGTAATAGATTTATACGATTATTTTCGTTGAATTTAAGTGTTTATTCCTGGATATTCAAAAAATTCGAATCTGACTCTAGAGTTACGTCGAGATGTTTCGATGAAATTCTATTGGCTAGATATTATATGGACTCCCAATCAATACTCACACATATTAAGATGGAACAAGATGAATCATTAAAAACCATTTTTGAGACTTTCGATAAACTGTGCAAACAATTCTTCTTCTCAGAAATTCCCTATAAAACCTACCATTTGAAATATCTGATTAAATCGGATGAATCTGTTTTGTTGAATCGATTTTTCCGGAAATTTATACCAAATTTATTTAAAATTAAGAAAAACAGCAAGACTTTAATATTTAACACCGAGTTACAAGTTAATTGGTATGAAAAATTGTCCAAAGTAAAAAGTAATTTGGAATATTATAATGATAATAATTTATTTAAAAGTCAATTTAATCAATTTGGTGAAAAATTAAGTAAAATGAAAATTCTTAGTGAACTTCCTCCTTTTTCTAATTGTTCGAGCATTAAACGTCCAGTTAATGGTGAATCTAATTTTAAACAAGCCAATAAAAAGAAAATCAAAATTACTTGAGAATTTTAAAGTTGATTTGGCGAATGAATGAAAGGACGACAGAGTCCAAAGTTGCCGGTTATTATACCTGAAATACAAGATAAACTAAATTAAAACCTCCAAAAGATTATTTTATTTATTACAATAATAATATCTATTAATCTTAAAAAAAGGATCGAGTTCTGGTGCTGGTAGTGGAGAATTTCACGTTTATAAAGCACGTTGTTAAAGAAAATCATAGAAGAAGAGACAAATAAGTTTGGAAATGATTTAACAATTTTCTACCTTCTATTTTGGTTGATTGGTTAATTTAACATTTGAAGAAAGAAACAAAAAACTAAAGAATCAGAATCAGAATCAGAAAAGTAAAACTTTTAATAATATCAACAATAAATGTAAATAGATATTTATTCCCTCTTTCACTCATCTCATGAAATAATTTAATTAATTAATTTGTGTATTTATTGCTTGTAACAATAATAAGTTTTAATAACGGGGAAAAAATAATATTATATTATGATTAAATATATACTAATACTAATTATATTATTATAAATTATATTAATAAATAAAATAAATTTACAAAAAAAAAAAACCCATCATAGATCACCAGTATTATTAACATCAATGTTTATATGATTACCAGCACCTTCATTTAATGATGTACTGTTAAATATATTTTTATATGTGTCCATGACTAATTTTTTTTCTTCTCTCAACTTATCCAAAACTTGTGAATAACTCCACGATCTCAATTCTTGTGCTGAATCATCCACATTGGTGACATAACCACCATATCCCATTAAAGTATGAACATTAGAGTATGAATTAAAGGTTTCATTGATTAGGTTATTAATCATATTATTATTAATCATTCCAGATGGTGATGTAAAAGAGCCATTTTGATTGCAATTTATATTATTTACATTACTTTCGTTTTCATTTCGAGACCTAACACTTGAATATTTTTTGGCTTCATATGAGGTACCACTAATATCTCTTAATATTTGTTGATTTCCTGCTGGTGGTCCTCCCCAACTTTTCCAACGTGATCTTCTTGAATCCGATGCCATAATTGGCGATGATTGTCTATTTGAGTTATCATTTGATGAGCCTTTATGGTGCATGCCATTAGTAAAAAGAACTGCTTGTTGAAGTTTTTGATGAATAAATGTTCTCATGTATAGATTAATGGGAAGCTTGTAATACAATATCAATTCCAAAAATGCCCACAAAACAAAATCTTGAGTTGAAGATAAAAAAATTGATCGTGAATTTGGATTAAAAGAATTTCTATCATTAGTTGTTTCACTAATATCGTTGTTTGCATGTAAATTGGGCATACTTGTTGCCGGAGTAGATCCTGATGAAATCATTGCTGTTTTTGATTTTTGTGACAAAGATGCTGTCCCTGCAAAATTCAACATTTGTCTAATAAATTGTGCAATATGAACCCACATACCTTTTGTATGTGTAATGTATTTTTCAGCACGTACGAGCAAAATTTTGAGTGCAATAAAACTTAATATAAATGTAGCCGTTGATTCAGCTGTTATTGATACAACTTTTCCCGAATTATTTTCTTCATTTTCATCTTTGTTATCAGTAATCGGATTTGATATGTTTGATGTGCTACGAAAACCAAATGATGTAGTTTTTGATCTTAAAACTATCCCTTTATTACATGCTTTTGTAATAAAATATAAAATTCTAATCCAACAATCTGCTGCTTTTGATTTATGTGAGTCGTTTTTTGAAGGTAATGGCATAAACACAGAATCTTCTGGTTTATATTGTAAACATATTGGAATTAAAACATATGCTATAAGTTGATGTGTTGGCAAATATCTATCTAATTCAGAAAGTATATCTTGATCTGAATATACCATCATTGAAACAAACAAGTCAACCAAACTTTGACATAAATGAAGTTGCATAGGCTCTCCATCTTCTCTATCAGGTCTTAACGCAACACTCAATCCAAATGAAATATATTTTTCTTTGATGAAAGAAGCCATTGTATGATCATTCATTGTGAATTTTAATTTATCAGTTACAATAAGAACAAGTCCATCAATAAATCCAGAAAAATCGATTGATTTGTAATGTTGCCTAAATGACGGTGCAACTTGTCGTATAAGTGATGTGATACGTTTTCTTCCATCTTCAAAAGTTGTATTGAAAAGTAAAGCATCCTTAATATAATCTTTAAGAAAATTTGTCGAAATTTTTTTCTTTGCTGCTGCATAATCTTTTATCATTAAACAAATCATATTTGCCAACTTGCTATGTGAATTCTCTGATAAAATCCCTCCATATTTCTTATATTTCTGAACAAGAACCAAAAAATTTCTCTTTATTGTCATACGATCATTTTGTTGCCATTGTTTTCCAAAAGCCTGAGCTGTTGCCTCTGAAATATGTAAATCATTATTATCTATATTAAGATTATCCATTGATTCATTTTTGTTTCCATTTTCAGAATTATAAATATTGGTGTTATTAATGTTTCCCATTGAATTTATTATAGGCTTTGATGATTTAGAAAACTTGAGGAATACTTCAGTTAAAGCTGCCATTCCGTCATCCACCAATGTTCTTATTGAAGAAGATTCTTGCAACAAATGAGGTACTAAATATTGTAAAATTTGTACAAATTGTTCTGCACGAAGTGAACCAGGATCATAAGCAATAATTGTCATGAATAATCTCACCAAATCTTCTAAAGAAAATATTTTTTCTTCCTGTGTTCCTAATAAACCAGATTTTGCTTTAGATGCCATACTATTAGCCCTTTTTTTAAATGTGCCACTAAATAATGGAAGTGGGTCAGAGAATAATGTATCCACAGTTTCTAATTCATCAACTATATCATGTATCCCTAATGAATCACCCTGATTTACAGGAAAATTTAATGCTTTAAATAATTCATATAATGACAAGCTCATCCATTCACATAGTTTTGTTGATTTAATTGACCCCTTAAGAATCAAAGGTGTAAGACAACCAAGAGCCTGAAAAATAAAAGATTCGCCGTGAATACGAAAGAATTTACACCATGCAAAAATAATTGCTGATCGAATTGGTGGAATTTTTTCGGACTCGCAAAAAACTTTAAATAAAGCTGGAATAAATATAGAATAACCACGATTTGCATCAAATAATCTATGAAATCTTGTGACTGTGGTTGTATATAAAATCAATGTTTGGCCAACAATACCAAAATCATCAGCATTTTCTAAAAGAATTCTATTTGCACCATTCAAAAATATATTGAGTTCATTTCTATCATTGTAGTTTCTATTTAACCGCTCAAGCATAACCAATAAAAATTTTAACCATGTACGAGCCCTTAGAGCTGATAAAAGTTTCACATCCTTTTTTCTTCTTGTAGATGGATTAGAAAATTCACTTGTATGACCTTTAGATTTTTTTATATCTGGTAAATAATATTCATCTTCATTCAACCCACATATTGAATCTTCAGATGCATTTGTAGATGGCATTGGTATATATGCTTGTATCATCTTTTTGACTGAGTAAACTTCATGTGGACATTTAATAACAAAATTGGTCATGAAATGTATATGACCAATACGAAGAATAGCTACTTGAAACATTACAAGTGGCACATCAAGTATTTGAAATGTAACCTGATCATTTGTCAAATTTCGTGGAAACATATCCAAAGGTGAACCATCTGTGAACCAAAATTGACCATTGTTACAAAGAATATTTTCTATTTTGTTTTTCCGAAAATCGCGAACAAGTAAATCATTGACTGTAGGTACAATTTCTGCTAAAATAGGAATAACATATGTCATAAGTCCTAAACCATTACTCTTGTTATCACGTGAATACCACTTCAAAATTCCAGCAAGATGATTGAAAAGGGTATGTGAAAAGCCTGAAGGAAAAACATGTTGCATTGAAATAAGAAAATGGATTTTTGTGAGAAGTTCTTTTTGTGCTTCAAAGTTGATTGTGCCCAGTTCACTAAAAAATATTCGAAGAAATAAAAGAGGATCATCTCTGAGAAAATAAATTATAATTTCTTTAGTAAGGTTAAATACTCCTCCATGAAGATCATCCAATAAATCTACAAGTCGCAATGAAAAGGAACTTAATATTAGAATTGATGCTGTTCTACGTTTATTTGCATTTGATTGCATATTGTTGTTGGGGTGATTGCCACGAATATTTCTTTTGATTTTTTCATGAGAATGTAATATATTTGATTCTTCTTTATTTTTCATTTCTTCTTCATCAAGATAAAAGGTTGGTATTAATGATATTGGCGTTGTAATACGTTTTAAATTTTCCAAACCTTCTCCTTCTTCCTCTTCCCAACCTAGTTCTTGAATTCTTTTTTTAACATCTGTGGACAATTTATTATCATTTTTATTGGACAAGCCTCTGTAATATTCATACATCATCATTTCTGAAGTACCAAGTTCAGTTGGAACAAAAGGAATTGCTGGAGCTTGTGATCGGAAAGGACGTCGCCTGTTAGAATCAGACACATAAGGTTGGCTTAAAAGTTGACTTCTGTGACCAAACAATGAAGAAATTTTACGAATAGTTATGGCACGGGTCAATGCATTTGTACTAATATACATATAAATCAGTAAATCAGTAAATTAATTAATTAATAATTAAAATAATGTTTATTAAAATTCAAAAAAAAAAAAAATAATACCTGTAAAGATCCTTCATGATTAAATTTTTTACTATTTTATAAGCTTTTTCACCACACTGTATAAAAAGAAATGAGGCCGAGGCAAAAGGTTGATGTTCACGATCATTCAAAAACCTGTCCCATAAACGTGGTGCTATTTTTACATACTCTTCAGATGTCAAAGTGGAGAATACTGCAACAAGTAAAGAAAGTACTGAACCAGCAGGATCTTCATTGAAGTTGTTAAATCGATGAAGACGATGTGTCGGTAATTTTGATGATGAACGGAGTGGATGATTTATTGTAGTATTTGAAACAATAATTGTAGAATGTCTTTTCAGTTCACTATATTGCGTTAATGGAGTTTTGGGAGTAGTTGGTGTATGTGGTGTTGTAGTTGACAAAGGAATTGGTATAAATGGAACAGGAACGTCCATTTGATCACCCTGTCAATTAAATAAAATAAACAGAAACAACCCATTAATGATATTTTAAGGGATTAATGATAATCAAATCATTTATATCTACTAACTTGATTTGAATCATTTGAATTATAATCTTCTAGATTTGCATAAACAACCCTTATTCGCTGAAAAATCCATTCAACTTCATTAAGTTGGTTATTATCAACTTCTGGTTCAGAAAATAATTTAAAAGGATTGTTTAATTTATTGAGCTGGATTATTGAATCCCGATATATGGCAGCACCAGGAGCTGAATAACTCATCCAATCAATTATACGAGATAACCATCCTGGACTTGAAAAAAAAAGTACTCCAAAATGTTAAAAATACGCATTATAACAATAACAATAACAATAACAATAACAATAATAATTTTATACCGATAAGTTGTTTTACAATATAAACGTATTTCAAAAAAAAGGTTACATAATAAGACACGTAAAGGTATTGGAATCAACCTTGTTTTTTCCTAATAAACATATATTTAAATTAAAATCAATTACCAAAATATATCAATAATAATAATAACAACAATAATATACCTTTGCAATTATAAAAATTGCTAAATGTTTTTCCAGATCATTTAAGAAAATTTTAGCAATCACATCTTGTTTTGAATTTTTTGAATGCTATAATTTTAAAAAAACAATTAATAAAAGTAGGCAAATTTAATTTTAACATATACATATAGAATATAGGTATACTTGGAAAGAGAAAATTACTTACACCAGAATTATTCAACCTTAATTCTCTAATTATCCACACAAATTCCATTACAATAACGCATTGACCTAATGTAGTGGAACCCCATACACATTTAGATGTTGAATTTGGCGCAGTTGAAGTTAGATCATGACTATTTCCAGCAGTCTTTGTTATACCCGGACCAACATCACTTAAAATAATAACACTCATGAATTCAACATCTTGCATAAAAAGTTCTACAGGACTTAAATATTTTTGTAAAGTTGCAATAAGATGAAGATGACTAGCAATCTTTGATTCGGAATCTGATGCAACACATGCAAGTATAGGTTTATAAAAATGTTGCCGATGTTTTGTACATAGTGACAATAATAATTTTTTTAAATTTGGTGATGTTTCAGGTTGTGTTGATATAATTTTCTGTGGGAATAAAAATAGTCAAATGCTTATTAATAAAATTTAAAAGTTAAAAATAAAAATCATCAATATTAATTAATAACAACACACAGAAAACAAATCTGAAATCGTTTCTTTAACAATATCATTTCCCATAGTATCATTTATGCCAAACACCAATTGATCTAGCACTGCAATAATTCTTTCAAGGCTATCTTGTTGAAACTATAATTGATATTTTATTCACACAAAGAAAAATTTAATTAAGTTGACCTCTATTATTATTATTACAATTTTAAAATGAGTAAGAAAAATAAAAGTTTAATTACTGTTTCTTTGACAAGCTCTATGACTTCCATTTTCCATCCTTCATTCCATAAATCCTCAACATATTTTTTTGCCAATGATAGAATTTCAATGTCTGTTTGCTTAGGTACTCCTGGACTAAGTAAATCATCATTATTAGATGATTTAATTGATGAAGATGTCATTGTTTTAACCGAATTTTTGTTTTTGTTGTTGTTGGTTTTATTGTTGGTTACACTTTGTGTGAATGAAGAAGATGAAGAATGATTATCGGTGGCATTGGGTGTAGAAAGTGAACTACTGCGTTGTGGTGCAAGTTCAGGCCATGATAAAGTAAATATAGACACTAATACACTGATAAGGCTTCGTATAACCTGTGGTGACATTCTACGAAGATCTTTAGGTGGTAATTTATTATATAAAATGTTGAGTATAAGGTATGGTAATGATGAAAAAGGATTGTTTTGATCAATAATAGAGGATTTAGGATCAGAAAGCATCTCAAAAGCAGCTTGTGAAAATAATTGCACAACATGTTCATATAGAGATGTCATTGTTTGATCAGGCAATATCCAATGTTTCTAGTGAAAGTTTATTTTATTAGATATATAGCTTTTAAGAATTTTAATTTTAATCAGTTATATGTTTTAATAATACCATTAAAAGATTTTCCATGACAAATCTTCTTAATTGAACATCTTTCACTAGAAGACATTTTACCAAACCTTCAAGGAATATACATTGAGCCAAACTATTATAATTCTGTATTTGTATGTGTGAATAACCAACAGTTGCTTCATCAGGATCAATAGCTACCAATGTTCCAGCAGCTAAACGGACTAAAAAACCATTTATCATTTTTATTAGCCTAGAAGCTTCTTCTGTCTTTTCAGATACTATTGGTGAAATAATTACTAAAGTGTGTACAAATGTATACACAAGTGCATGAATGGCAGTGACAGATGTAGGAAAATATGATTTTTCTGCAGTATCATTTAATAGTTTCTCAGTAATATCACACACACGACTCTTTAATATTTTTAAATATAAATGAATTAGATAAATGGTTTAATAACTTTGCGAAGACCTATTATATGACAGATAAAATTTTACAGTACCCTAATCTCCTTTTGTCGGGTTTCTAGTAATTTACAACACCACTGAATCCTAGCAAAATTTTCCTAAATCAAAAAAAAAATAAAGTTAGATTGAAAATAACCTGTTAAATATATAACTTAAAAAAATAAAATAAAATGACTACATTATGGTTTGCTGGTCTATATGTTTTTCTTATGTATTCAAATTTATCTAAAGACTTGTTGCAATCATTGTCTATTGAGAAAAAAATATTATAGTTTTTTTTAAATTATAATTATTTTTTTAAAAAATAATAATCAATAAAATTTACATGCCATTTACAGGATAAATATAAAATGGTTTGGCTAATTCTGCAAAATTTGTTTGGGTACCCATCAAGAAGTAAATGACATGTAAAGTTTTTATGCAAAATGATTTTCAAGCGTTTTTTCCGAATTCCTTTGGTGACACGAACCTTAAAATTAAATATGGTTCGCGTGGATCTATAGTGCAGGACATCAAAATTAAAAATTATTTACTTGTATAAATTTCTTGGAGATCCTTCAATGATTTCTTCTCTTTTACCATTTACTATAGAAAATACAAAACTAAACCCTGTAGATATTTCAGATTCAAATGGTATTTTTTCACTGGAAATTTCCCAGAATAATATACCAATACTGTATATATCAGATTTTTTATCATGAGTATATCCATTAAGATTTTTTAAATATTGTGGGTCTGAATATTGTAATGTGCCATATAATCTGAGTCCTGAATAGAGCTTCGAATGAGTCGGGTCAGGTCAACGGGTCACAGATTAAGAAAATTACAAATGTAAATATATTAATTGATTTAAATATATACAATATGTTCACTATTACTGCCATTTTAAGAAATCTGTCCAACATCATTGCTTGTTTATTTACATTAACATCAATTTTATTTTTATGATTCTTAAGATGATGACTTAAATTTGAAGTAGAGCCACTATTCATATTATATTTCCCATGTCTTTATTTAATATAATTAACACAATTAGTAATTTTTTTAAAAAAAAAATAAGTAATGCAATTTATTTTAATTACTTACAAGCAATATTTACATTTAGCCCATTTTATGCCTTTTTCATCCATTTGTTTATCAAAATGTGTCCATATTGAACTTTTATTCTTAGAAATACCAATGGTCTTGATAGAATTAATCCTGCCACCATCACCATCACCACCACCACCACCATTATCATGCTCATTATCATTATCATTATCAATATCATCATCATTATCATAATTACAACCACCATAATTGTCATTACCACAATCATCATAATTGTTATAATTGTTAATATTTCCTTCAGGTTCAATGTAAACACTCTCTTCAGATTCTAAAAAGGTGCTTTCTCTTTCTAAAATAATTACTTTATCATTGTCATTGTAATTATTGTAATTGTCAATCTCAATTCTTCTTTTTGACATTATTAATTAATTTAATTAATTTATGCTTATGCTGTGGTTTTTTTTTTTAATTGAAAATAATATATTAATGAATGAGATAATAATAATAATATCGAATTTTAAATGCAACTTTCCCAATGGATTCAAATGAAATTTGACTGTTTAACATTTCACAATGTTTTTGCTCAGGTATTTGTGGAAAATTAAAATGAAATCTTCATTATTATTGCATCGAACTAGAGTTTCTATTCATAATACAAATTTTTATTTGTTTTATTCAAATTACCTGTTTTATTCGTTCAAATTATCTATTTTATTCAATACTCAAATTCAAAATCCTAAGTTGAGCAGGCTCGAGATAGAACTTGAATTTCAAGTTCGAGCTGAGTTCAAGAAAACAAATTAGGTAAATAGTGAAATTAATTAAAAAAAATTTATTAAGCTCAAGTTATCATTTTTCACCAGAACTCAAGCTATCTCAGCTCATTTGGAGAATAATGTGAAGTCTATATATAGGATAGTTAAATAAATTTAATACAAAATTTTTATCAAAAAAATTTTATTTATTACAAATTCAACAAAATGACAACTTGCTTCCCATCATTGGAAAATTTAAACTTATTATTTAACAACCTTATCAATTCTAACAACAATGCTCTTCCATTAAAACATGTTGGTAAACTTATAAATGAATCTGATTTTTATGATGTAGAAATTAGAGTTGGAGCAGATGAGGATGTCAAGCTCATTCTAGCATCCTAAAGCAAGATCTTCATATTTTAAAGCTTGCTTTATCAAATAACTGGGTAAAAAAATCTGATGACAATATTATTTTATTTGAAAAAGGAGATATTTCTCCAAATGTATTTGAGGTTCTTTTAATGTAAGATTATTTTAAACTTTATAATTTAATTAATTAATTGTAATAATTGTAATAATTTTAATTACTTTTATTTTATAGGTATATTTACAACAGAAATCTTTATATGAATATCCTTAGTTGTGTGGGTCCCTCCTACAATTGAAAACTTAACGTGTAGTACAAATAGACAAGATAGTAAGTGGCCAGCATGCAGAGTAGCCATTAAAATCTTGTTCAGCAGCCCATAAGTCAACCAGCAATGCAAAAAAATACAATAGAAAAACTGAATAAAACTTTGCCTTATGAGTATCATACAGCAGACTGGAAAACTTTTTTATTTCATCTGAGCCATCCTTTATTAGATTTGCAAGATCTTTTCAGACTGTGAGACTCCTTTCAAAAAGAGGAAGTAAAGTTTGTTTGTTTCAACTGATGTTCATAAAAGCCTTGAAAACTATAATCTTTCAGAGGTGTCTCATCGAAATATGTATCCCACAGTATGGACATTATGGACATGGATAAAATGAATTAAACTTCAATAATATTAATTTTATTATTACATATTAATATGTAAACTCAGTCATGTTGGGGTGGGCCCCTGTGTCTGACCTATTGAATTTCATGTGTTTTTTTAAATTTAAAATTTTTTAAAATCCTCTATTTTCAAACATTAGAAGGTTGTGAAATTAACCTTTTTATATGCATGAAATCCCAGATCAAGTTCTTACCTGAATAGATGAACTCAAAAAAGCAGAAGAAAATCCAGTAGGCAATAAATTTTTTTGCAAAAAATAACAATAGGTAGGTAAGATTTTGGGGTGTGCGACATTCTAAGAAAATCAAAACTAATTAATGTCATATATTGATTGGTTATATGTGATTTTTTTTTGTGATCTGCATATCATATACAGAATTTCCGAAATTTACATAAAGAACATAGTAAACATATTGTTTTCAAAACACTACTCCTCCTCCGTTTTCAAAGATATAGACACCAAATTAGTGTAAAAGTTAGTATATGTAATATAGATTAGAGCTATGGAAAGATTTAATGGATTAAAAATACCAGTGGCGTAAAAAAACTCATTC